CCTGGTCGGAGACCGGGCCGCGGGGCCGTTGATCCCCGCGACCTCCAGAAGATTTGCACAAAATAGGTAGTGAAACATGGGTTGGTGTTGCCGCAGACTGACACCCTCCCAACACAGAGCAGACTACCTATCACATGACTCTGTACGATTAACCATCCTGTGTGATGGGGATTTTTATAGCACCACGTAGCTAGCTTTTTGACACTGACCTCCCCTTCATATAGTCAAGGGTAGCTGCACAAATGCACATATACCTAATTGTGTTAATTATTTAAGAATAAAAAATCAGGGATTGTTTTGGTTGGGGAGGGTGGGTGCTACCCGAGGGTGGAGGGCATTGGTGTGGGATGAGGGGGGGGGTCCGTGGGTGGTAGGCACGAGAGTGGGATGGGGGGGGGGTCCGTGGGTGGTAGGCACGAGAGTGGGATGGGGGGGGGTCCGTGGGTGGTAGGCACGAGAGTGGGATCGGGGGGAGATCCGTGGGTGGTAGGCACGAGAGTGGGATGGGGGGGGGGTCCGTGGGTGGTAGGCACGAGAGTGGGATGGGGGGGAGGGGGTCTGTGGGTGGTAGGCACAAGAGTGGGATGGGGGGGGGATCCGTGGGTGGTAGGCACGAGAGTGGGATGGGGGGGGGGTCGTGGGTGGTAGGCACGAGAGTGGGATGGGGGGGAGGGGGTCCGTGGGTGGAGAACACGAAAGTGGGATGTTGGGATCGTCTCAAAGCTCTCCAAATGTACTCGCTAGAAAGAAGACGAGAGAGAGATCAAATAATATATACGTGGAAGATACTGGAGGGACAGATACCACATCTACACAGTAAAATAACAACTTACTGGAGTGAACGATATGGAAGAAAATGCAGAGTAGAACCAGTGAAGAGCAGAGGTGCCATAGGCACAATCAGAGAGCACTGTATAAACATCAGAGGTCCGCGGTTGTTCAACATCCTTCCAGCGATTTTAATTTGATTTGATTAAACTTTAGACTATCCTGACAATTATTAAACATTCAGGCTCGGTTTAATTTTAAGGTTTATAGTATTAAGTTTACTTTGTTACTTGGCATAAGAAATATTGCCGGAACAACCATGGACATAAAGATAAAACTAGACTGTTTTCTAAAAAAAAACGTGCCGGACCAGCCGGGCTGTGGTGGGTACGTAGGCCTGCGGGCCGCTCCAAGCAACAGCCTGGTGGACCAAACTCTCACAAGTCAAGCCTGGCTTCGGCCGGGCTTAGGGAGTAGAACTTCCAGAACCCCATCAAGCAGATATCAAGCAGCACGCCATGGGATAATCCACCTTGGGCCATCTACTCCTGTAGATGGCCCAAGGTGGTGGGAGACGGGTGGCCGATTGGTTGATAATTTAGGAGGGTGTGAGTGGCAGCCTCCCGGGAGGTCGGCGGCTGCCATCTTTACCCTCCACCCACCCCATGATGGCCAGCACATAGTCAAGCACTGCCCACGCCCACCAGCCTTTGCCACCACCAACGCCCACCAGCTTTTACCACCACCCTATGGAAGATATGATCACGGTCCGCCCACTATCCTTAGCACCGCCCTCTATCCCCAACACCGCCCTCTATCCTCAACACCGCCCTCTATCCTCAACACCGTTATACATAAGTATACATGAATACAAGTAAAGCATCCTATACGAACATAAGTACCAAAACCTTGCCTCTGTTTTATACATCTCACAGTACCAGAATATAAATTACTAACATGAAAAGAAGACAATGCAGTGAACAGTAATGACATTGATATTTCACAGTATACATGCTCGTCATACATTAATGATATAAATGTATACATTGTACATCATAATACAAATATCATGTCCTATACAACAAAACGTAACATTCCATACTATAAGCACATAATGGTGTTTTCCAAGCTACAGAACATTATTAGGCTTCTGCTATTTACTATACTTCCAATATATCTACAAATACATGGCACATAAACTTGGTACTGAAATATAATATGCATAGGTATATTAAACATACGTTGGCAATATGTATTAATTACTAAAATATTGTCAAAGAGATTATATTGATATAATAATATTTGCGACATTAGGCTAATCAGCCAGGATATCACTAGACAGTTTGAACGCATCATACACCAGCCACAGTATGATCATACTGGTGTATGTGGGGTCATAACAACCGCCCACGCCCACTGTCACCAACACCGCCCACTGTCACCAACACCGCCCACTGTCGGCAACACCGCCCACTGTCGGCAACACCGCCCACTGTCGGCAACACCGCCCACTGTCGGCAACACCGCCCACTGTCGGCAACACCGCCCACTGTCGGCAACACCGCCCACTGTCGGCAACACCGCCCACTGTCGGCAACACCGCCCACTGTCGGCAACACCGCCCACTGTCGGCAACACCGCCCACTGTCGGCAACACCGCCCACTGTCGGCAACACCGCCCGCGCCCACCAGCCTCAACTGTAGTAAATTAAATGTGTTGAGCAGTGGACTGTATAATGATTTGAGTGATTCCACAAAACTTTGGTAGTTAATTTTAATTTGATTTGATTAAACTTTAGGCTATCCTTCCAGTTATTAAACATTCAGGCTCGGTTTAATTTTAAGGTTTATAGTATTTAGTTTACTTTGTTAATTGCTGGGTAAAACAAATTCGTCTTAGTTATGTTAAATTTAGAGGCCTGAGCTGGCAAGAATAATTACGTGTGCTAAACTCTGGTTGATCCCAATATGGTTCCTGGCGTCCGCCTTAGCTACCTTGTGTAGCTTAGGTGGATCAACGGCCCCGTGGCCCGGTCTCCAACCAGGTCTCCCGGTTGGTCGTCTGGTCAACCTGGCTGTTGGACGCGGCTGCTCACAGCCTGACGTATGAATCGTAGCCTGGTTGATCAGGTATTCTTTGGAGGTGTTTGTCGATTCTCTCTTGAACACTGAGAAATCGGCCAGTTATGGCCCTTATGTGTAGTTAAAGCGTGTTGAACAGTCTCGGGCCTCTGATGTTAATAGAGTTCTCTCTCAGCGTACCTATTGCACCTCTGCTCTTCAACTCTTCAACGTACCTATTCTGCACATCCTGCCATGGCTAATGTCTCATGTGGTGTTATTTCTGTGTTCAGATTTGGAACCAGTCCCTCTAATATCTTCTACGTGTAGATTACTATGCAACACACTCTCCTGCGCTCTAGAAAATACAGATTTAGAACTTTTAATCAGTCCCAATACTCAAGATGACTTAAGAGTGGATTCTAGCGATAAAGGATCTTTGCACGCTCTGTAGGTCAGCAATTTCTCCGGCTCTGAATGGGGCTCATATAGTACAACAATATTTCACCCTAGAGAGCACTAGTGTCTCAAAGTATCATTGGTATGGCGTCCCTTGTTTGGAAGGTCCATGTTATACAACCTGTCATTTTTCTTGTAGACATGACAGCTACTTTATTGTGGATTCTGTACTCGCATTTCACTCGCCCAGCAGATAAGAGCCAACTAGGACGGAAAATATTCTAGATCTGATCTTCAGAGTGAAGAAATAATGAGATGCATTACGATCTCAGACTACTTAACCTTGCGTTTACCTTTCGGTGATTTTGGGGCTCAACGTCCCCGCGGCTCGATCCTCGACCAGGCCTCCAGGTTGCTGGACTGGTCAACCAGGCTGTTGGACGCGGCTGCTCGCAGCCTGACGTATGAGTCACAGCCTGGTTGATCAGGTATCCTTTGGAGGTGTTTGTCAAGTTCTCTCTTGAACACTGCGAGGGGTCAGCCAATTATGCCCCTTGTGTGTAGCGGAAGCGTGTTGAACAATCTCGGGTCTCTGATGTTGATAGTTTTCTCTGAGTACCCGTTGCACCTCTGCTCTTCAACGGGGGTGTTCTGCACATCCTGCCATGTCTTCTGGTCTCATGTGCTGTTATTTCTGTGTGCAGGTTTGGGACCAGCCCCTCTACTATTTTCCATGTGTAAATTATTATGTATCTCCCGCCTGCGCTCAAGAGAATACAGATTTAGGCTCTTTAGTCGGTCCTAATACTTTAGATGTTTTACTGAGTGGATTCTAGCAGTAAAAGATCTCTGCACGCTCTCCAGGTCAGCAATTTCTCCAGCTTTGAAAGGGGCTGTCAGAATGCAGCAACAGAATGCAGATGTGGTATACACGGACATTGAAAAGGCATTTGGTAATTGTGACCATGGATTGGTAGCCCACAAAATGAGGTAAATAGGAATAACAGGTAAGGTAGAGCGATGGATTTTCAAATTTGTCAAACTAAACACAGAATAAGTCAACTGAATAAAGTAGTCCAAGCACAGGTACAGTGAAAAGCTCTGTACCTCAAGGCACAGTCCTTGCACCACTGCTTTTCTTTGCTCTCATATCAGATATAGATAAAAATACAAGTCACATCTTTGTGTCATCTTTTGTAGATGACACAAAATTCTTATACAGAAAACATACGGGACGCATAGACAAGATAAAGTATCTGAATTATTGGGTTTGTCCTAAAGCTCTCAAAATGTACTCTAGAAAGGAGACGAGAGAAGTATCAAATAATATATACATGAAAAATACTGGAGGGCCAGGTCCCAAATTTGCACAGTAAAATAACACATCGGAGTGAACGATACGGAAGGAAATGCAGAATAGAGCCAGTGAAGATTAGAGGTGCCATAGTCACAATCCGAAAACTGTGTGAACCTCAGAGATCCATGGTTGTTCAGTATGCTTCTTGCTAATATAAGAAATATTGCCGGAATAAAAGTAAAGCGGGTGGGTAGTTTTTGTGTGCATATTTCTGCCTGTCTGACTTGTGTATCACTGTCCTTTTGACGAATCCAAAGGCGTTGTGTATTTTTTGCGAATTATTAATAGTGGTAGCATCATGGTTTTCAATGAGTGGATTAATCATTAACTTAAAATTAGAGAATTACATTATATATATATAAGTTACGTTTAGTTATGAGTCGGGTGCTACCTGACGAGACACTAACGGCCCTCTCTCTCTCTCCTGTTTTATAGCTGGTGGCGAACAGCGTGATGGCGGCAGCGGTAAACGTAGCCGGGGTGTGGCTACAGCAGATGATGCAGGCGGCGCAGCGCAAGGCCTTCCTCGACACCCGTAACTGTATCGCTGCCAGGCTCCAGATGGAGGATGAGAACGACAAGCTGGTATGTGCTTTTCTTTCTTGTGCTCCGACGGCCTCTGGCTAACTATATCTATATCTCTCCGTCTCTCGCTTTCACTCTTTACCTGCATTGTACCTGGCGGGAGTTCTACTTCCCTAGCCCGGGCTGGGGCCTTCTTGACTTGAGAACTTGGTCCAACAGGCTGTTGCTTGGAGCGGCCCGCAGGCCCACATATCCACTACAGCCTGGTAGGTTCAGCACCTCTTGCAAAAAATTCCATTTTTTTTTCTTAGACATCCACTTTTGTTCCGGCAATATTTCTTATATTTGCACAAAGGATACTGAACAACCGTGAACCTCTGATGTTCATATAGTTCTCTGATTGTGCCTATGGCACCTGTAATCTTCACTGGCTATATTCTGCATTTTGTACCATATTGTTCACTCCAGTATGTTATTTTATTGTGCAAATTAAGGAGCCGACTCTCCTACGTCTTCCATGTATTTATTATGTGATAACGCCTCGTTTCCTTTCTAGAGCTATGTCATGGGTTCGTATCCTGGCCGGGGAGGATTTACTGGGCGCAATTCCTTAACTGTAGCCTCTGTTTAACGCAACAGCAAAATGTGTACTTGGATGAAAAAACGATTCTTCGCGGCAGGGGATCGTATTCCAGGGTCCTGCCCGAAACGCTACGCGTACTAGTGGCTGTACAAGAATGTAACAACTCTTGTATATATCTCAAAAAAAAAAAAAAATAAAATAAAAAAAAATTGAGACGATTCAGACGATCCCAGTAGTTTAAGTGCTTTATCGTAACTATGCATGCCTGTTTGTATTCTCTTCCCTCAATTTCAGAAGTGTCTCCTGTTCTAAAGGGAGCAGTGTGTGAGTGTCACAGTACTCAAGACGGGACAGCGCAAATGATTTGAATAGAATGAGCATTGTGAATGGATCCCTGGATTTGATGGTTACCGTAATCTATTATATCGTTTCTCTTGCTGACCCTTAATTTGGTTATTTTCTCTATTTTTCATCTCCGTGTTCCTTCCTCTTTGCACCAGTCTTGTATGCAAGTATCTGGTTCGTCTGTCTTGCGCTTCATTATCTTTTTTAGCCAATGTGCAATATCATTCCCAGCTTTCAAGAGTCGCTTGTTTTATTGAGGTCGTGATGGGCCGGCCGGCTACTGCTCGCGCACCTGGTTCACGTGACTCACCCAGGTGTTCTTGGGCACTGTGATTCTGCCTCTAAATCGTCACATTCTGAGCTCTCAACTGATGCTCGGGTTCCTGAACTTTGTGAGCATGCTGGTTATAGTAAGAATGACGGTGTGTGTATTCGCGTAAATGCGCACATACACCGCCGGTTGTAGGGTGCTGAACAGAACCGGGAGGAGATGGTAGAACAAGGAAGAGAACCGGGAGGAAATGGTAGAACTTGGAAGAGAACAGGGAGGAGATAGAAAGGCAAGGAAGAGAACATGGAGAAGAGTCTAACAAGGTGTTCGACTCCAGACGCCGCGCATCAGCAGTCAGACGCCACGCCTCAGCAGTCAGACGCCACGCATCAGCATCAGCAGTCAGACGCCACGCATCAGCATCAGCAGTCAGACGCCACGCATCAGCATCAGCAGTCAGACACCACGCATCAGCATCAGCAGTCAGACGCCACGCATCAGCATCAGGAGACAGACGCCACGCATCAGCATCAGCAGTCAGACGCCACGCATCAGCATTATCAGCAGACAGACGCACCACACATCAGCATCAGCAGTCAGACGCCACGCATCAGCATCAGCAGTCAGACGCCACGCATCAGCATTATCAGCAGACAGACGCCACGCATCAGCATCAGCAGTCAGACGCCACGCATCAGCATCAGGAAACAGACGCCACGCATCAGCATCAGCAGTCAGACGCCACGCATCAGCATCAGCAGTCAGACACCACGCATCAGCATCAGCAGTCAGACGCCACGCATCAGCATCAGGAGACAGACGCCACGCATCAGCATCAGCAGTCAGACGCCACGCATCAGCATTATCAGCAGACAGACGCACCACACATCAGCATCAGCAGTCAGACGCCACGCATCAGCATCAGCAGTCAGACGCCACGCATCAGCATTATCAGCAGACAGACGCCACGCATCAGCATTATCAGCAGACAGACGCCACGCATCAGCATTATCAGCAGACAGACGCCACGCATCAGCATTATCAGCAGACAGACGCCACGCATCAGCATTATCAGCAGACAGACGCCACACAGCAGCATTATCAGCAGACAGACGCCACGCAGCAGCATCAGCAGTCAGATACTACGCAGCAGCATCAGCATCAGCAGTCAGACGCTACGCAGCAGCAGCAGGCAGGTGCCATGCAGGAGCAGCAGCAGTAGTAGTCAGGCGCCACGCAGCAGCAGCAGCAGCAGCAGCAGCATCATCATCATCATCAGCAGTCAGACGCCACGCAGCAGCATCAGCAGTCAGACGCCACGCAGCAGCATCAGCAGTCAGACGCCACGCAGCAGCGTCAGCAGTCAGACGCCACGCAGCAGCGTCAGCAGTCAGACGCCACGCAGCATCAGCAGTCAGGCGCCACGCAGCAGCATCAGCAGTCAGGCGCCACGCATCAGCATCAGCAGTCAGACGCCACGCATCAGCATTATCAGCAGACAGACGCCACGCATCAGCATTATCAGCAGACAGACGCCACGCATCAGCATTATCAGCAGACAGACGCCACGCATCAGCATTATCAGCAGACAGACGCCACGCATCAGCATTATCAGCAGACAGACGCCACGCATCAGCATTATCAGCAGACAGACGCCACGCATCAGCATTATCAGCAGACAGACGCCACGCATCAGCATTATCAGCAGACAGACGCCACGCATCAGCATTATCAGCAGACAGACGCCACGCATCAGCATTATCAGCAGACAGACGCCACGCATCAGCATTATCAGCAGACAGACGCCACGCATCAGCATTATCAGCAGACAGACGCCACGCATCAGCATTATCAGCAGACAGACGCCACGCATCAGCATTATCAGCAGACAGACGCCACGCATCAGCATTATCAGCAGACAGACGCCACGCAGCAGCATTATCAGCAGACAGACGCCACGCAGCAGCATCAGCAGTCAGATACTACGCAGCAGCATCAGCATCAGCAGTCAGACGCTACGCAGCAGCAGCAGGCAGGTGCCATGCAGGAGCAGCAGCAGTAGTAGTCAGGCGCCACGCAGCAGCAGCAGCAGCAGCATCATCATCATCAACAGCAGTCAGGCGCCACGCAGCAGCAGCAGCAGGTCAGGCGCCACGCAGCAGCATCAGCAGTCAGACGCCACGCAGCAGCATCAGCAGTCAGACGCCACGCAGCAGCATCAGCAGTCAGACGCCACGCAGCAGCATCAGCAGTCAGACGCCACGCAGCAGCGTCAGCAGTCAGACGCCACGCAGCAGCGTCAGCAGTCAGACGCCACGCAGCATCAGCAGTCAGGCGCCACGCAGCATCAGCAGTCAGGCGCCACGCAGCAGCATCAGCAGTCAGGCGCCACGCATCAGCATCAGCAGTCAGACGCCACGCATCAGCATCAGCAGTCAGACGCCACGCATCAGCATCAGCAGTCAGACGCCACGCATCAGCATCAGCAGTCAGACGCCACGCATCAGCATCAGGAGACAGACGCCACGCATCAGCAGTCAGACGCCACGCATCAGCATTATCAGCAGACAGACGCCACACATCAGCATCAGGAGACAGATGCCACGCATCAGCATCAGGAAACAGACGCCACGCATCAGCATCAGCAGTCAGACGCCACGCATCAGCATCAGTAGTCAGACGCCACGCATCAGCATCAGCAGTCAGACGCCACGCATCAGCATCAGCAGTCAGACGCCACGCATCAGCATCAGCAGTCAGACGCCACGCATCAGCATCAGGAAACAGACGCCACGCATCAGCATCAGCAGTCAGACGCCACGCATCAACATTATCAGCAGACAGACGCCACGCATCAGCATTATCAGCAGACAGACGCCACGCATCAGCATTATCAGCAGACAGACGCCACGCATCAGCATTATCAGCAGACAGACGCCACGCATCAGCATTATCAGCAGACAGACGCCAAGCATCAGCATTATCAGCAGACAGACGCCACGCATCAGCATTATCAGCAGACAGACGCCACGCATCAGCATTATCAGCAGACAGACGCCACGCATCAGCATTATCAGCAGACAGACGCCACGCATCAGCATTATCAGCAGACAGACGCCACGCATCAGCATTATCAGCAGACAGACGCCACGCATCAGCATTATCAGCAGACAGACGCCACGCATCAGCACTATCAGCAGACAGACGCCACGCATCAGCACTATCAGCAGACAGACGCCACGCATCAGCACTATCAGCAGACAGACGCCACGCATCAGCATTATCAGCAGACAGACGCCATGCATCAGCATTATCAGCAGACAGACGCCACGCATCAGCATTATCAGCAGACAGACGCCACGCATCAGCATTATCAGCAGACAGACGCCACGCATCAGCATTATCAGCAGACAGACGCCACGCATCAGCATTATCAGCAGACACACGCCACGCACCAGCATTATCAGCAGACAGACGCCACGCACCAGCATTATCAGCAGACAGACGCCACGCATCAGCATTATCAGCAGACAGACGCCACGCATCAGCATTATCAGCAGACAGACGCCACGCAGCAGCATCAGCAGTCAGATGCTACGCAGCAGCATCAGCATCAGCAGTCAGACGCTACGCAGCAGCAGCAGCAGTAGTAGTCAGGCGCCACGCAGCAGCAGCATCATCATCATCAACAGCAGTCAGGCGCCACGCAGCAGCAGCAGCAAGTCAGGCGCCACGCAGCAGCATCAGCAGTCAGACGCCACGCAGCAACATCAGCAGTCAGACGCCACGCAGCAGCATCAGCAGTCAGACGCCACGCAGCAGCATCAGCAGTCAGACGCCACGCAGCAGCGTCAGCAGTCA